AAGTGGCTGGTTGGAGAGTGAGGCAACGACTGGAGAGGCAGGGTCGGGAGGGTTACTGGCAGCTTAAACGTGCAGAGGGTGTAGACGGTGCGGTATGCGGGGTTGAGCGGGGTGCATGATTGGAGAGGCAGGGTTGGTAAGGTCACGGCCAGCCTCGAACTGCAGAGGCCCTGGAAGGTCTCTGGAGCAGAATGGGGGCAGGGGGTGGGGAGGCCAAGGTATTGAGCCATCTTGGGCCGTCATGGTGGGCTCCTGGCCCCTCTGACGTCGGAAGCCGTCTTGGGGGCCTCTCTCGGCCGACTTGCGGCCCTTCTGGGGTGCTCCAGGGCCGCCTTGGAGGCCGTCTTTGGCGTCTTGGAGGCCTCTTGGGCCGTCTTGAGCTCCTTGAGGCCTTGAGTTCATCTTAAGGGCCTCTTGGGCGGTTCTGGGGTCATCTTAGAGGCCTCTTGGGCGATCTTGGGGCGATATTTTGGGGGCTCTCGGGCCGTCTCGGGCCGTCGGAAGGCCGAAAAGAAGCAACTGCCAATATCCTCCAAAAGCCTAATGCACATCACAAATTTGGGCCTCGTCGGGCCTTCCGAGTCCATCTTGGAGACCTCTTGGGCCGTCTTGGAGACCTCTTCGGGGCTTCTTGGGCCGTCTTGGGCCATCCTGGAGCCATCTCGGGCCGTCTTGGTGGCCTCTTGGCCCGTCGAACGCCGTCGGGTGCCGTCTTGGGGACCTCTCTGGGTCGACTTGTGGCCCTCTTGGAGCGCTTCAGGGCCGTCTTGGAGGCCATCTTGCGCGTCTTGAGGGCCTCTTGGGCCGTCTTGGGGCCCCCCTTGGGCCATCGTCGGGGCCTCTTGGGCCGCTCTGGGGCCATCTTGGAGGCCTCTTGGGTGATCTTGGCGCGATCTTTAGGGGCTCTTGGGCCGTCTCGGGCCGTCGGAAGAGCCGAAAAGAAGCAAATACCCCAATCCTTCAAACACCCAATTCAAATCACTGATTTTGGCCTCTTCGGGCCTTCCTGGAGGTCCTCTTGGAGGCCCTTCGGCCGTCTTGGACACCTCCTGGGGTCCTCTGGGGCCGTCTTCGGCCACCTTGGAGGCCTCGTGGACAGACTTGCAGGCATCCTGGACGCCGTCGGGCCGTCGTGGAGGCCATCTTGGACGAGCTCGAAGGCCATCTTGGCCGTCTTGGAGACCACGTTGGGCTCATCTTGGGCATGCCGGGTGGCCGGCGCGCTGGGCCGACGCCCCAGGGCTGCGGGAGTCGATTGATGGAGAGGACGCAAAGCATGCTGCCAAATCATCTGCAGATGTCTAGAACATGTGTTAACATTGTTTAAACAATGTATTACATAATGTTTAGCACATAATGTTCGAAACATGTTTTAAACATGTGTAACACATTTTCAAAACATGTGTTACATAATGTTTTACGGATGTATGTTAAAACTGTTTGACAACAATTTGAAGACATGTTTAATTCGATGAGAGGACTGTTAGGGGTGTCCATTGTCGTGGCATCCACAACCCCAGGGGAGTTCTGTTGGAGGAAGAACCCAAACCAAGCCGAGCATAGGATCTGGCACGCTGGGCACCCATGTGGCAGGGGGCGGCGGATACATGTAGGTATATTACATATGGCCGTCGGCCCATCCCGCCTCCGTGCCTGGGTTGTGGGCCAGAGTTTTCAGGAATGCTTCTTGGGGTCTCTTCGGAGCGCTCTCAGGTGCCTCTTGGGAGAAGTTTGGGGGCCTCTTGGGGCCTCTTAGGGGCCGCTTGGGGCCTCCGAGGGGCCTCTTGGGAGACTCTTGGTGCCTCCTGGGGGTCCATCGGGTCCGAGGGCTCGAAGTATTCTTCGGGTCCTCCAGCTGGGCCCCCTCTTGGAGCTGTCTTTGGGGCCTCTTGGGCCGTCTTGGGCGCTTCTTGGGCCGTCTCGTGGCCCTCTAGGCCCGTTTTGGGCCCCTTGGGCCGTCTTAGAGCGTCGGGAAGCCGAAAAGGCGAGAACGCCTAAAAACATGCAGAACTTGAGGACATTCAATGATTTTGGCCCTTCTGGAGGCCATCTAGGGCGTCTTGGAACAGTATTTCGGCGGCTCGGGGCCCTCGTAAACCGTCTTAGGGGGCTTGTTGGGGCCCTCTGAACCCGTGTTGGTGCTCCCCATGGGCCCGAAAAAGTCGCGCGACAAGCCGTGAGGACCCAAGGGGGGCACGCGGAAAACCCCGGGAGATTTGTTAATTTGGGCTCTAGGCCCCTTAAGAATCCCTAGGATCGAGGATTGAGGCTTAGAGGAGTAGGCGAAGCACCTGAGGGCACGTCCACTCCGTGCCCAGAGGCACGCTGGCAAATACGTATACACACATGCACACATACACATATATATATATATATATACACACACAAACACATATGCGCATACATCCAAGACTGTGTTGGCGCTTCGCGCCATGAACCTTGGTCCTTGGTCCTTGAAGTTTGGTATGCAGGCGGATCAACAGGAAGGTCAAGCCGACAATTTAGAGATAACTCCTTGTTGCCTTTTCGGGCATCGCCGTTAGAATAATGTTTTTCATGGTTGTTCCCTCATGTGTCCTCTTCTTCTTCCTCATTATCGTTCTACCCTGCGAATTCTTCCCCATCCTCCTCAGCTCTTTTTGCGGAGGCTCATCCTTGGAAGGCCTCATTTTGGCCTCACCAAAGTTTTTAAAGGGCTTCTTGAGGCCTTGTGGAGGCCTCCTGGGCGCCTTCTGGGGGCCTCTGGGGACTTTCTCGGGCCACCGTGCTTCCAATCGCGGTTTCCCTGAACGACCAGCTCACGATTTGGAATGCTTCGGGGGGCGTCTTGGCGCCATCTTGGGCCGTCCTGAGGCTATCTCCGGGCCATCTCGTTGTGCCGTCTTGGAGCTCTCTTGGACTGCCTGGAAGCCCTTTCGGACAGCTTTGGGGGAGATTTTCGGGCCTCCTGGGCGGTCTCGGACGTCCGTCTGGCTGGCGATGGGGGCCGACGTAGTTTGGTCAGGGGGTATGCGCGGCCGCATGGGGGCCCAGAGAGCGCCCTGAGGCGCACAAGCTGGCCCTGGGGGATGGGGGGGGGGGGCGGGAGCCCGGCCCAGAGTCAGGCTGGGGCCTAAAGATGGTGTCTTGTCCAGTCCTGGGTATTCATTGTCCTCTGCCGAAAATGTAAGTCTTGCGTTCGGATCTTCCAACTTGGGGCAGCCCCCCATTCGTATCCTCGTCTGCGGATGTTGGTAAGTTTGCCCGTTGCCATTGTTGGGAACGCCTTGCATCGCAATTGCTACGCTCGGTTCGACCACATGTTCTAGGACGGGTCTTGGGGATGTTGAGGGCCGACTTAAACGAGTTTCGACCATCAATCCCAGTGTGCAGTCCGTTTGTGGTTGCTTTTCCTTGTGCAGTTAGTTGCGCTAAGGGCGAAGGATAGGCCCATAGATTCACCCCAGCACTGACCATTCGTTGCCTGCTCGGGCTTGGGAGCCTCGGAGCTAGTCAAGGGCATCGGTGGTTTTTAGGCGGTGCGCTGGGGATGCCAGGCCTGTCCCTCAGCTGATTTGCATGCCCGCGAGACTGCACGCGGAGGAGGGAGGGGGGCGCGCGAAAAAAGTACGCGGAGGAGGAGGAGGGGGCGGAGGAGGAGGGCAGGAAGAGGAGGAGGAGGAGGAGGAGAGGAAGAGGAGGAGGAGAGGGAGGAGGAGGAGGAAGAGGAGGGGAGAGGAGGAGGAGGAAAAGGAGGAGGGAGGACAACCATGCGGATGAGGAGGAAGAGGGAGAGGAGGAGGAGGAGGAGGAGGAGGAGGAGAGAGAGGGAGGAGGACGAGGACGAGAAGGAGGACGACGACGACGACACTGGCGGAGGGAGGAGGAGAGGAGGAGGAGGCGGAGGCGGAGGAAGAGGAGGAGGAGGAGGAGGAGGAGGAGGAGGGGGGGAGGAGGAAGAGGAGGGGAGGAGTAAGAGGGGGGGAGGATGGGGAGGATAGGAGGAGAGAGGCGGGCGGAGAAGGACGCAGAGGAAGGACGCGGAGGGGGGGTTGGAGGATGAGGGAAGGAGAAGGAGGCGGAGCGGAGGAGGAGGGAGAGGAGGAGGAGGAGGAGGAGGAGAAGGAGGAGGCGGAAAGGAGGAGAGGAGGAGTGGAGGATGGGGAGGAGAGGAGAGGAGGAGGAGCGAGGGAGGAGGAGGAGAGGAGTAGGCGGGCGGAGAAGGACGCAGAGGAAGGACTCGAAGGGGGGTGGGAGGATGAGGGAAGAGGATGGGGAGGAGTAGGAGGACGAGGAGAAGGAGGAGGAGGAGGAGGAAGAAGAAAAGTCGGAAGAGGAGAGGGGAGGGGAAGAGGAGGAGGAGGAGGAGCAGGAGGTGGAGGATGAGGCTTCTGCTGAGGTAGCTAAGCTGATTTCTCAGACGCGGCGAAGCACTTGGACTGTGGTTAATTGCACTTCATAAAAGAAGTCGGCAAACCAATAAACACACGAGCGCACAAACAACACAAACAGACAGACAGACAGACAGACATACAGACGGACAGGCAGACAGGCAAGCGAACAAACAAACAACCAAACAAACAAACAAGCAAACAAACAAACAAACAAAACAAACACACAACCAACCAAACACACAAACAAACGAGCAAACAAACAAACAACCAGGAGGAGGGGGAGGAGGAGGAATATAACGATGGACGAGGAGGAAGAAACAGGAAGAGGATGAGGAGGAGTACGAGGAGAAGGGAGCAAGGAGGAGATCAGAGGGAGGAGGGGAGCAGGACATGGAGAAGCAGCAGCTCGAGGAAGCCGGAGGAGGAGGAGGAGCAGGAGGAGGAGGAGGAGGAGGAGGAGAGGAGGGGAGGGAGAGGAGGAGGAGGAGGAGGAGGAGGAGGAGAGGAGGAGGAGGAGCAGGAGGTGGAGGAGGAGGAGGGAGCAGGAGGGAGAGGAGAGGAGGAGGGAGGACGACGACGACGATACCGGCCCGCCCCACCCGCCCGCCGCGCGGCGCCCGCTCCGAGGGCGACGCCGAGAGCTGGAGGCGCAGCTCGGAGCAGGCCTCGGCGCGCCGGGCCGGGGCCTGATTGCCCCGCCGAGGCCGCCGAAAGACCGGGGGGGCGACGCCAGAGGACGGGCAGGCCCGTAGAGCGTTGTCGGCGCGCCTCCTCGAGGTGGTCGAGCGTCCTCCCTCGCCCCCCCTCCCTCCTCCTCCTCCTCCTCCTCCTCCTCTCTCCTCCTCCTCCTCCTCCTCTCCTCCTCTCCTCCTCCCTCCTCCTCCCCCTCCTCCCCTCCTCCTCCTCTCCTCCTTCTCCTCCTCCCTCCTCCTCCTCCTCCTCCTCCTCCTCCTCCTCCTCCTCCTCCTCCCCTCCTCCTCCTCTCCCCCTCCTCCCTCCTCCTCCTCCCCCTCCACCTCCTCCTCCCTCCTCCTCCTCCTCCCTCCTCCTCCTCCTCCTCCTCCTCCTCCTCCTCGGGCGTTCCTCGTCGGTGCTCGGCGGCCCTCCAGCCGCGGGAGGCTGCGCTCCAGCGGTGGCGCCTCGCCGCGGGCGTGCCCGGGGTGCCCAGGTCGTCCCGCGGGGCCGCCGGAGAGCCGAGCTGCAGGACCCGAAAGCCAAGGGGGCAGCGTCAGGGGGGGATGAGGCTCAGGCGTGGGATGCGTCGACCCCCATGCGCCCCGTGATCGCCGCCAGGGGCGAGGTTGCGACCGCTTCAATCTTGGCGAAGCGGGCTTGACCATTTCAATCTTGGCCATCTCGAAAAGTAGAAGACCAGGATGTCCCAGGCGAAGTGGGCCGGACCAGCTCCCGCGCGGCATTTGGGAGCCCAGAGTTGCGAGGATGCGAAGAGGACCGGACCACTTCAATCTCCGGACCACCTCAGTCGCGGACATATCGAAAGGTAGAGTTGCGAGGATATATCAGTCGAGACGGGCTGGAGCAGTTCCTCGCGCGGCATCTCGGAACCCAGATCTGCGAGGATGTCTCAGGCGAATCATTTACACATTTATGAGGCCATCTCCCGCGCTACATCTTGGAGCCTGGGAGTGCGAGGATGCTTCAAGCGATGTTGGCCAGGCTCTGCCATTTCGGAACGACAGAGCCATTGCAGATGAACAAACCAGGAATCGAGTGGTCCCCAGGACAGTTCGTGGCCAAAACACCCGGACGGAGGCAAAAACACGAGACGCGATTACCAGTCGGGGCGGTTTTATTTACGCAGCATCGCCTCATCATGCAATTTTGTTCCGCGCACTCTTGAACAACTCAGACTCGTAGAGTAGCTGCGTGCGTACGCGATTGACTTTCACTAGCAACGGCTCGATGTGGCAGGGGATCCGGCCACCCCCCCGATAGGAGAAACCTTTTCGTCGGGGAGTCGAAGCACGGAGGCATCATGAATAATGACCAGCACGAGAGCGAGAGGTGGTACGTCGATGTGTTGAACACGATCAGCCGCAGATGATTCCAAGGGCGCGCCCTGAAGATATGAAGTATTTCGGGGGCGCCCCTGGTACTTCGGAGGCTGGCTGCTGGCGGAGTTCTCGCGGGAGACCCCGGAGGACCCAGAGGAGGGTGAAGGGGGAGCAGTCGAGGATGAGAAGGAGAAGGGGGATGACCAGGACAGCGTCATGCTGATGCCGACGGTGTCGCTGATGATGGTGGTAATGAGGAGGAGGAGGAAGAGGAGGAGGAGGAGGAGGAGGAGGAAGCACAAGAGGGACGACGACAACGACGACGACGACGGCGACGACGACAACGATGACGACGACGACCAGGGGACATACAAATCCCCCGTCGCCTCTTTCCGCTTCCCTCCTCCACTTCCCCTCCCCTATCCCATTCGCCTGCCCACCGCCCCCCCCTTTTCCCCCCACGCGCCCCCCCGCTTGCCCTCCCCCCCAAGGAAGGAGGACAACCGGGAAGTGGACGGGGGGGGTGGGGGCGGGCATGAGAAGGGGACCACCCCGCGCGGCGGAGGCCTAGAGCTGCGAGGGCGTGTCAGGCGAAACGGGCCTGCACTTAGGGTTTCTTGCGCGTTCTCTGCGGGACTGGGCCTGCGCGTGGTCGCCGTCGCCGCCTTGTCGCCGCCCGTCGCCTGGGCCCCCGCGTCGGGTCCGCCGCCTCGTGGTTGCCGTCGCCGTCTCGTCGCCGCCCTTCGCCCGGGCCTGGGCGGCGGTCCGGCCGCAGCGTGGCCGTTGTCGCCGCGCCGGCACCGCGTCGTCGCCGCCCGCCGCCTCGTCACCGCGTTGCTTTGCGTTGTTCTTTGTTGCTTCGCACGGCTTTGCATTGTTCGGCACTGCTTGGCGCTAGTTCAACTTGCACGTCGATGATTCGCATCATTACGTTGCAAATGTGACCTGTTTAGCTTTTCGTTGACGTGCATTGATTTACGTTGGTCTTCATTGCTCTGCGTTGTTTCTCGTTGCGACGCATTGTTTTCCATCGTTTGGCATTGCAGTCGTTGCGTTGCCTTGAGGTGATGTGTATTGCGTTGCGTTGTTTAGTTGCGCTGTTTCGCATTGCTTTGCACTGCTATACGCTGCTGGTTCAATTGCTTCGCACAGCTTCGTGTTGATTTGCGCTGCTTCGCATTACCTCGCATTGTTTTGCAACTCGCAAATGGCACCATACGGATTCTCCTCTCTCAAAAGACAATATCTAGACTCTACCCTCCCCCCCTCTCCCGGCCTTATCGTTACACTTTTTTGTGTTGCAATTTGCATGCGATTATGCCCCTTCGTCCATCCGAAATATGAATTCGTACCCTCCCAACCCAGCCAGTTTCGACCACCCAAAAAAATCCTTTGCAACAAGTGCTATGTGCGCGCAGTCGTTTAGGAATAATCTTAAGTTTCCAAGAGCCCTTGCAACAAATTTTGCGAAGTGCACACGCGCGCGATGTCGCGCGCGCGTGCCGAAATCCTTGAAAAACCTTCGGTTTCGGAAGGGGCCGGGGTTCAGAATCGAGCGCCCGTATATATATATATATATATATATATATATATATATATATATATATATATAAGACTGCAGTGGCGCTTCGCGCCATGCACCTTGGTCCTTGAAGTTTGGTTTGCAGGCGGAACGGCAGGAAGGTCAAGCCGACAATTTAGCGATAACTCCTGGTTGCCTTTTTCCGGCATCGCCGCTATAATGATGTTATTCGTTATCCTTCCTCCATGTTTATTGTTCTTTATGTTCGCCATACCCTGCGCATTATCCACATCCTTCTCTGCTCTTTTTTGCGGAAGCTCCTCTTTGGAGAGCCTCTAGGGGCCTCACAAAAGTTGTTTCGGGCTTTCTTCAGGCCTTCTGGAGGCCTCCTGGGCGTATTCTGGGGGCCTCCGGGGGCTTCCTCGGGCCACCCTGCCTCCAACCGCCGTCTCCCTGAACGACCGAATCACGATTAGGAATTCTAGACGCTTCGCGTATCCCCACCAGCCCGTCCAGAAATGAGTCCCAGGGGAGTGGAGGTTATGAGGGAAGCGGGGGAGCATGCAGAAGAACAAAGGGCGGGGTGAGCCGCCATATACCCCAAGAGGGGGAGGATGTAGGAGGAGCCGTCGTCGTAGGAGTAGGAGGAGGAAGAGGAGGAGCAGGAGGAGGAGCAGGAGGAGGAGGAGGAGGAGGAGGAGGAAGATAAGGAGGAGGATATGGAGAACTGCGAGGACGAGAAGGAGGAAAAGGAGAAGGAGGAGGAGGAGGAGGAGGAGGAGGAGGAGGAGGAGGAGGGGGAGGGGGAGGAGGGAGGAGGAAGAAAAAGAAGAGGAGGAGGAGGACAATGGCGAGCTTGGGGGCCTCTTGGGCCCTCTTTGGGGCCTCTTGGCGGTCCCGGGGGCCTCTTGCGTATCTCGGGGAGCCTCTTGTGGCCTCTTGGGGGTCTCTTGGGGGCCTCTTGGAGGCCTCTTGGGGGCCTCTTGGGGCCTCTTGGGGCCCTCTTGGGGCGCTCTTGGGGCGCTCTTGGGAGCCTTCGAGGCGCTCTTGGGGCCATCTTGGAGGAGATCTATCAAAGAAGGGGGGGTCCCCAATTAGCGCTGCCCCTCTAGAGTGCCTCGAATCGCTTCTTGGGCCCTTCTTGAGGCCAAAATCTTTCCAAAACCTAGGTAAAATCAATGTTTTGTGTTTTCTCGCCTTTTCGCTCTTGGAGCCGTCTTGGGCCGTCTTGGGAGCCTCTTGGGCCTCTTGGGGGTCTCTTGGGAGCCTTGTGGAGGCCTCTTGGGCGCCTCTTGGGGCCTCTTGGAGCGCTCTTGGGGCGCTCTTGGGGCGCTCTTGGGAGCCTTCGGGGCGCTCTTGGGGCCATCTTGGAGGAGATCGATCAAAGAAGAGGGGGTCCCCAATTAGCGTTGCCCCTCTAGAGTGCCTCGAGTCGCCTCTTGGGCCCCCCAAGAGGCCAAAATCGTTCCAAAACCTATGTAAAATCAATGTTTTTTGCTTTCTCGCCTTTTCGCTCTTGGAGCCGTCTTGGGCCATCTTGGGAGGCTCTTGGGGCCTCTTGGGGGTCTCTTGGCAGCCTCTTGGAGGCTTCTTGGGGGCCTCTTGGGGCCTCGTGGGGCCGTCTTGGGGCGCTCTTGGGGCGCTCTTGGGAGCCTTCGGGGCGCTCTTGGGGCCATCTTGGAGGAGATCTATCAAAAAAGGGGGGGTCGTATATTAGCGTTGCCCCTCTAGAGTGCCTCGAGTCGCCTCTTGGGCCCCCCCGAGAGGCCAAAATCCTTCCAAAACCTAGGTAAAATCAATGTTTTGTGTGTTTCTCGCCTTTTCGCTCTTGGAGATGTCTTGGGCCATCTTGGCCGTCCCAACGACCCGCGGAACGCCCCGTCCAGGTCAGTGGGGAGGGGTAAGGGGAGGGGTAAACCCCTCCCCGAAGGGGAAGAAGGGGGTTGGCAGAGGAAACTCCCTAAACCACCTACGCCCTAAAGGGCTGGTGGGATTCTTCGGAGGGTGTCTTTGGGCCATCTTGAGCGGGCACTGGGGCTTTCTGAGGGCCATCTTGGACCCGTGTTGTGCCGTTTTGGGGCTCTCTTGGACTGCCTGGAACCCGTTTCGGATGGTTCTGGGGCGATTTGGGAGCCTCCCAGGCGGCTTCGGACGCCCAAAAGACCGCCGTCTTGGAGCGTCGGGAAACTGAAAAGAGGAGAACCCCACAACTCACCAAAAACCTGCAGAACATCAATGATTTTTTGCCTCGGGGGGCCTTCTAGGGAGTGCTCTTGGAGGCCTCTTTGGGGCCGTCGTGGAGGCCTCTTAGGCCATCTTGATGTCACGTCGGTCACTTTTGGAGCGCTCTTGTGCTGTCTTGGGGGTCTCTGGGACGTCTCCGATGGCCCCCCTGATCGCCCTAAGTGTGCTGGGAAGACTTGGCAAAACGCCTTGCGAGGCCCGGTGGCCGCTTCGAGGCCCGTCCGGAGGGCCCCAAAGCCCCAGGTCCCGGGAGTCAGTCCGGTTTTGGGTGGGGGGGGTGATGGGTTTCCCCCCCGCCCGGGCTCACTAAAATATAGGAACGGGAGTGTATATATATATATATATAACTATATAGGTGTATATGTATATATAGATGTATAAATATGTATATATTAATATATACATACATACATACATACATACATACATACACATATATATATGTATATATATGCACATGCACATATACATAAACATATACATGTACATATACTATACATATGCATATACATATACATATACATATACACATACATATACACATACATATACATATACATATACATATACATACACATATACCTATACATATATATACATATATATATATATTGGTTTCGCAACCAGGTCTTTCAAAACAAGCGTGCGCGCGCGCTCTTGCGAATCTGTTTTATCCAAAAAAACGTATTGTTTCCAATGTTTCAGCAAGTGCTACCAAACGGGCTTCGCGGGCGCGCATGTCGAAATCGTTCGAACGCCCTTGCGCGCGTGCCGTCGCGAGAACCTTTTGCAACAAATGGGACGGAATGCACACGCGTGCGTCGTCGCGCGCGCATGCCGAGGTCCTTCAAACAAAAAGTTTTCGATTGCGTAGCGAATTTAAAAACCGAATGCCCAAACCAACTTGTAAAAAACACGAGTTCGCAACATGCGTTTTCAAAAGAAGTTTGCGCGCGCGCTCATGCGAATTCTTAAGACAACCATCGGTTTTTCAACATGTCCATGAAATTCTGCGTGCCAAACGGGCCACTGGCGCCGCATGCCGACATCATTCGCACGCCCTTGCGCGCGTGCTGGGGGGACACGATCCGTGTCAAATGAAACCATGCGGGCCACTCTCGCGCGGCGGCCCCGCGCGCATGTCGAAGTCTTTGCAAACCCTTCATCACCGACGCGAGGACGCTGTTATCGTCGTCGGCGTGATCAGCATCGGCGCCCGCGCTGGCCGCGCCTACGTCGGTGCGAACATCGTCACCGGTATCGCCGCTATCATCATCGTGTCTACCGTAGTCGGCGTTGCCATGGTACCGCGCCCGCCCAATTTGCCGACTCGCAGTGAAGTGCCCGCTGGGATGCGCCCAGCGGTCAGCGCCACGGCGGC